GAGATGACATTGGAGCATCGAGGTTTACTATTCGCATGTTTAATATCGTTCCGGGTCATCCAAATGAACCAACATATAATATAAGGATATATGTGTAAAAAGTGGTTACGCCTTTGATCCGGGTTACACAAAAGAGTAGTGGAGATCAAATTTGTGGCCGGATACAGAGAAGTGCTAAACCAAAGACCCCCAATCTCCAGATTTGAAGTGAAAATGGACAAGTGAAAAATAAATGTTCCAAAGTTTCCTCATCATTGTTACATAGAGAGCAGCAAGAAGCTAACCTTAATCCCTTGAGCTTGAGAATGTCGTCACAAGGTAGTAAACGATGAAAAATTCTCCAAGACAAAAAAGACATAGAAGGTGTTAATGCATGGTTCCACAAACCGTCCCCCCATGTAGTTTGTTGAAAACGGTGTGTGGAGTGATAAATCGTTTTTGTAACAGAGCTACCAGGATGTATCTTTAACATAGGAGTATCAGGTTTATGGGAATCAAAATTAATAGTAGAAATATAATTAGCATTATCAGCCCCACTAACTGAGTAAGAAGAGGTAAATTCCAGGAATTATTAAGCCAAGTGTCAGAAACGAGGAGATCATTATGAATATCTACCCCAGGAGAAAAATTAATTTGAGCCCAAGAGTCATGCCAGAAGGAAACATTACCGCATCCAAGATCCCAAAAAATAAAATCCTTGACCCACTCCCTAACGATGATAACTTCTTATCTGTATAATCATTCCTAAATACTTAGTTGAATATTAACTACATATAAAATTAATATTTTAATACTACAAAGCTTAGTCACTGCTTAATTTAAACGATTAGATTCTTGGTTACCCTCTCTTGAGCTACAAACAATTGAATTAAGTTAGAGTAGAATTGAAAACTTGACTTAAGAAAAGGGTTGGAATTTCAAATCATTAAAAAAGCTTAAACAAGTATAGTAACCCCAACAAAAAGAGAAAAAAAGAAATAAAAAAAGGAAAGTGACAAAAATTGAGAAAGCAAAAAAATTGTTGAAAATTTCATAATATTAAAAGAAAATTTTCAGAAACCTTTGAAGAGAAGCTTAGGATGATGCTCGAATTAAAAATTGATGTCAATTTCTCTTCTAAATATCAAATGATCGATAACTTTTCTAACTAATGCTAAACATTTTCTATTCAAAGATAATGTAACAGGATTCAGATAGTTTAATTAAATAGATAATTGTTATTTATGACTAAATATTAATTTTATGTTAATCAAAATTCACTTGAGTAATTTAGCATGATATGTAGATATGTGATTACAATTTGTTATATCAGGATATTAAGGGTACTATGAAAGTTAAAACTAATGAAAATACACGTCCACTTTGATATTATATGTCTACTATAATATTAGGAAGCACTAAATCTTTAATCACTAGCATTCATTGCTCTTTGAAATATTCTAATTTTGGATTTTGAAATTATTTGAAAGCAAGTAATGTGCAAGTTTGAAGGAATTTCAAACGTTAAAAATATAAGATAATCTATCCACATTTTCTTTCATTTTATCTATGATTTATTCCTATTTATATTTTTTTTCAGGTATTCCAGATATTTAAGAAAGCTTTAAGAAATGCATTAGCAAATATTGGAGCAATAAAGAAAGAAGTTGCTTCAAACATGAGTCTAATGGAGCCACCTAGCCATAAAGCCCATGTTGCCTTGAGTGGCGCCCACCATATGGGCACCCCTAGGCGATACCCATGGGCCTAAGCAAACCAAGCACCATGTGCCTTGGCACCAGGTATGGGGCGCTTATTCATCCCCTATAGAACTATTGCGCCATTTTCTGTGGCGCCAAGGCGCCACCTACCTAACCAATATTGTTTCCTTATAGAACAAAGGGAACTACAGTGCTCGAAGGAGAAACCTCGAGGCCGACGACCGACATAAGAGTTATGGTGGTTGTTTTCTGCATAGCGTCTCCTAGGGACAACTAAAGGAGAAAAATACTGGAAGAAAGTGTACCTGCCAAGCATTTTGAGAATTGTATTCTCTAGTTTTCTTTGGTGTGTGAGTGAAAGCAATTATGTAAGGAAGAGTCAGAGAGTTTTTGAGGGATTGACAAGCCAATTGTGCAAGTGACTTAGTGATTGTCAGTGGAAGGGGAGAGGAGAACACATAAGAGTGTAATCTGTTTATTGGCTTTTCTTTCTAAACTCACTATGTACTTTAGTGACTTTGATTAATAAAATGTTTATCCTATTTATTCATGCTGTGGAGATTCTAGGGTTTTGATGCTATTCATGTACTTGTATGAAACAATGTGGTAGTGGTATTTTATCCATTAAATCATCATTTACATTCTGCCTGGTCAATTAAATTATTAAAAATTGCCGTAAACTTTGAATTTCAGGAAATCTTTAGTGGAACTAAGATTAATATCATTAACTATGAGAATATAAATATTGCTCTAAGATTAGTGTTATCTTATAAAGAAAGACTTAATCTTAGGGATTTTGACAGATTTAGAGAACTAAACTTGTTAATGGTCCTAATTTTCTTATTTTCACCGGGAGAGACTAAAGAATAAATTTATTCCTGATAGTCACCGTCAAATTTGTTACTTTATCAACCCTAAGTTTTTAGGTTCCAAGTCAGGAGAGATACTTTCACTTGATAGACTTACCTCTCACACTTAAATCAGGATCTTTGTCTTTGCAAAAATTAAGTTAGAGACCTTCAAAAAAATACCAAGAATCGAAAAATTAGGCTAGACTTGAAACCAATAGTCTAGAAATTCTTCACACTTATAACTTCTCGCTCATGGGATTGATACATTGAATATGTTTCATATACTACTTGGACGTTACATAGATTTGCGTGATTCGTCAATATTTTGCAACATTTGGTCCGTATCAAAGTGTTATTGAAAGCAAGCATAAGGTTCAAAGCTGTGAAGTGAAACAATGAAGTATCATATCAGTTCAAGTGTTGCTAAAAGGGAGCATATGTCTCCAGAGCAGTGGAGCACACATTACTAACCCAAAATGATGCAAGCGTGCATTCAGTTATACAACCTTTCTTTTCTATGTTAGCCATTTGGCCTTTATGGTAAATCATTTGATCCAGTTCTTTATTCCAGAACCTCCATAACCATAGTTTGATATTATTATGCATTTTTCAGTTTGTGCTCTTCTTTACTTTATAGATTTTTCAAGCACTTCTCCTTTTAAGTTTAGCATAATTATTCCATACTGAATATTTGAAAATCAAATCCTTTTAAAAGCTAGAATGTTTATGCTGAAACATAGATGTATCAACTTTGCTCTTAATATTCGTACTGTAAGGAGGTCATCTTTCCAGCAAATAATGCTCGCTGCTAAACTCTAGACAATCAGACTTTATTATATAACTTAGTGTAAATAGTGTCAAATTTTATGTCCTAATCATACTTTAACTATTCTACTCGATTTAGCTTAAAAAAGTAGACTGATATTCAATTGCACTTGTGTGTCCCTAGGTAAAATAATAAAAGTTGCTTTGTGATGGGACAAACCTTAATACTATTAATGATAAATTAAGACAACATAGGGAACTAAATAGGGTATGCTCTACAAAAGCAAAGAACCACCATCGATTGCTTGTTATTATAAATCTTGTTTTGAAAATTTATGAATTTTATTAAATCCAACATATCATTAAGTCAGACACCAACTATATTTTGAACTCCACAAATCATATCATAACTCCCTCAAAATATAGATGATTTTATTCTAGCAAATAAAACAACTGAAAATGAACTGATCGCTTTCAAAACAAAACTTTCAATTTTCAAGCAGCCAAATGCCTGACAAAAGAATAAGCATTTAAATTTCACTTGATTTAATGTTTTGCAAACACTTAATGTATGTAAATTGCTCAAAATGGATGAGGGGAAAAAAGTCAAGTTTAAGAGTAGAGCATTTAGCGATGCTAAAAGTGTAAAAATCACGATTCCTGAAAGACCAATTTAGCTTATTGCTTATTACAGGAAAAATTGACCAAATTTAGCTGGGGTTGAGAAACATGAATCGAATATAGCGGATGCTAAGAAACTTGGCAGACGAAAGAAATGGGAAAAAGATATACAGATTCATATAAATTTAACAAATCCCATAAATAAAAAAATATCAGATAATCTCAGAGTTGCGAAAAACAAATGGAATAAATTAAAAAACTTTTGACACAAAATATGGGGGAAAAAAGAGAATAGACCCTCGTGTAATGTCAAAGTTCTGTGAATGGTGTCACCTTTCTTTTAGTATTGCAGAAAATAACAGCTTGGGTGATAGTAAGGGTGTCATAGAGATCACACAGAGTATCAAATTTCCACTCCTCCCTCTCAACAGCAACAAAGAATTGCTTGATACCCTGCATTGAGAAAATGAATCACATCCAATCAACCGTACAAATCTCAATTATAGAATTGACATGATGTAATGCAGTTCACCTCAAGCGTTAGTTCATCACGCTTGACAAGTATTCTCACAGGGTCCGTCATGAACTTGCTAGTTATTTCCAAAATTTCATGAGGAAGTGTAGCAGATATCAGAACAACCTAAGGGAA